TTATCATTCTCACCTAAAATTCACACACACACACACACACACACACACACACACATGCACGCACACACACACATGCACGCATGCGCGCACACTCACTCACATGCACGCACGCACACACACACTCACACAAACACACACACACACACACAAGCACACACACACACACACATGCACGCACAGCCGCACACGCATACATATTTGCATTCACACTGTAAAACAACCACAGGTTATAAATATCTGTATTATCGTTCTCTCAGCTCCACCTAAAATTCACACACACACACACACACACACACACACATATGCACGCATGCACACACACACACACATGCACGCACGCACACACTCACTCACACACACACACACACACACACACACACACATACGCACGCACAGCCGCACACGCATACATATTTGCATTCACACTGTAAAACAACCACAGGCCATAAATATCAGGAAGTTTCTCGCTCTGTTGGTCATCTCTCTCTCTCACTCACTCTGAGAGAAAACTCCATCTCAGGGACGCTGTTACTGTCTCTGCGGTGCTTGTAATAATCTCTCCTCCATTTTCCCTGCGTCTCCTCCGATTGGATCTCTGGCAGACGGATGTCCTCCGCATCCGTGTCAAAGTCAAACTCTGGCTTTCCATCTTTATTTCTGTGAGAGAAGATTGTACAAATTTGATTTAAAGACAAAAATGATTTTAAATCATTCAGTATTTTTGCATTCAAGTTAGAAAGAGAAATATCTTTGGATAAATTTTTTTTTTTTTTAAATTAGAAAAACACTCAATATTTTAGCTTTATTTTTCAATGCTTATCTGTTTATTTTTATTTATCAAACGGTCCAAATGTAAAAGAGTTATGCTGATTACATTTGCACTTTTAGCATTTGTCCGACACTTTTTTTTATCCTAAGCGACTTGCATTTAAGGAAAACACTTTATCAGTTTCAGATAAAACATACTTGCATATTGCATTTAATCTATCAAGGAAGTGGCTAATAAACACATATCACAAAATCTACCATTCAAACCAAAAAAAATGTCCATCAAATAAAGTGAAACACTGTAAAAGTCCAGATATCTATGGAAGCACGAGATAAAAAGAATGCAACTTTTTATCTGACAATTCGGACCTTAAACAAATCAGAATTGTGAGATATAAACTCAGAATTTTGAGGTATAAACTTAGAATTCAAAGAAAATTTTATAATTGTGAAATGTAAACTTATAATAGCAAGATATATGAAATGTACATATCACAGTTGTTGTTTTTTTGTAATTGCGAGTTATCTTGTGTTCTGTCTTGAATTGTGAGACAGAAGTCTGAATTGTGAGATATAAACTCACAATTCAGATATAAAGTTGTAAGGAAAAGTCCAAACTGTGAAATAAAAAGTTACCTTTATTGATTTTTTATTCCATAGTGGGAATTGGCTTCCATAGGTATCTGAGATAAAAGCTTGTAAATGTACTCAAAAATGCAAGTAAACACAGAAATATGATTAGAAAGTAGCCAGTTGCATATCTGATTGCTTAAATATACTATTCGTTAAGAGTTGAGAGAATCACATGCTTTAGGGTGATTCAAATGACTTGATTCATTGAACTGAAGCAGTTCAGGGTATATTATATTCAAAACAAACACAAATCAGGAGTGTGTTGTTATGACAGAGTCAGTACACTCACCTGCATGCAACATGTAAATCACATGCAAATGAATTATGACACTGAACATAATGGTTCTCCTGTCTGCATTTGCTCTGTAACGTCATCTTTCACTACAACATGCAACTCTGGCAAAGTAGTTTGAAAACTACCAGATGACAGACCTGCGGATGTTCCAGATGAGTATCTTGGTTCCTTTTTTGCCCTGAATGGAGTCCAACTGCTCTTGTAACTCAGAGACACTCTGGAAGAGAGAATATTTCAGGATGGCTCTCAGACTCGCCTCTGAATCCTCTGTTACCACCAGCGCCTGTGAGGCAGGAGTTAAAGGCAATGTTTTGTCCCACTGAGACATCCGTTTACAGTCTATATGCACAGAGTGCATGCACATGCATGCAAAACAAATACATGCATCTTATTTTTTCTGTATGTATATAGTCTATGCATATAGTCTACTTGTCTACAATCTGTATGCAAAGACTACATGCACATGCACGCAAAACAAATACATGCATCTTATTTTTTCTTTAATCCTCCTGTTGTGTATTTGACTCCAACTAGTTTTCAAACTGTTCAAAATACTGGTTAAACTATTTATTTCTTCTTGGAATGGGGTGAAAATTTCTCATTTATGGTCAAGAATGTGCACGCAAAGTTTCGACACATAGATGTGTTTTGAAAAGGCTATACAAAAATTGTTAGGACTTTTGTGTTGGGGACTCATTGACTCCCCTATCGATCCCCATTGGTTTCCATGCAATTAACACTTTAAAGAACACTATAGAGTGAAGTGAAATAAACTTTACTGTATCTTGTCCAACACTCAGATACGAAGTTCATGAGAACTTATTATATTTCTCACATATTTTATATTTTGTATAGAATAGTCATTTTCTGTTTTTATATGAATATTTAGTGTTTTTCAAAGGGATTTTGGCAAATTGTATGCAAACCAATGTGAATTAGTTTACCCCAAACACAAAAGCTTTTGAACACAACAGGAGGGTTAATCAAACAGAAAAATGTTCCAAGTCTTGAGTTGAAAGACCCGTATTTCTACTGAACAGAAGGATATTGGTCTGTTGGTTGAACGGGGCGATGGGTACGATCACAGCCTGAGCTTTAATGGCCTGTAAGAAGCTTTGAGACAACATGCCCACGCTCTGACAGCCACCATTTTTTGTGAAGATCAGAGCATCGCGGCCAAGACGCATTGAACCTGACTTAAACCCATTTCCGTATACGCCGATGGGCTGATGACTGCTTTTACTGGAGCCTTTCTCAGTGAATCCAAAGCTGTGAAAAAAAGAGAATTCTTTTCACAAAATGTCTCACCTCAACAAGACTTGAGGCATCATTCGTGTCGGTTTTCACACACCTGAGCATTTTGTGCAGTTTGTTGGGCGTCATACCGCTCCCGTTGTCCATAAAACTGAGGCACAGCTGTTCTCTGACCGTCACAACATCAATCCATATGTTCTTGGCTGTGACTCCTGGGTCAGATGCGTTATCTACAACACATGCAGAAAAGTGTATATAATTTGAGTACAACTGCATTATTTATTGTACATGCACAACATGAATGCTTTTTGCAGCACTTTCTGTTTTCTCTTAAACTGCAAGCCATTGCAAAAAGGCAGATCTCTTAATATAACCTACAACCTAAAAAGACACACAAGCCGTTTAACAGGAAGTCAAGAGGAAACTGCAGAAATATTAAGAGGATTTTGTTAAACCTCAAATCTTGATCATTAAGTAATCAAAGGCAAGCACGACAGGAACGCAGTTTCCTGACACCTGTCTCTAACGGTACTGAGATCCGACCCTGAAAGCTTTACATATTTCCATCAGCCTTTACCATAAACCATCTATCCTAGCAGAGAAACCGCACGTGTAGTTCATCACGTTTCACAAACACAGGCGACACATTCATTAGTCTTCCTTTGAACACTACATCTATAGTTGTAGTAACGTTAAACCCAACAAACCTATTTTTGATAAATGCTTTGCTTGTAAAGTGTTCGTAATTGGCTTTATTTACATTCATTTTTATTTTTTTATTTGCATTTATGCATTTGTAGATGCGTTTATCCGAACTAAATCAGTTTATGCATTCACTGGGGCACCAAACCAACCATAGTGTTGCTCTATGTTGTATTTTATTATTAAATGCAATGAGATTCGGACATTGTAAGTGTTCGGATCCACTATGCATTTAATCCAAAACGCAACTTTACCACGCAAAATGCATTATGCGCGTTGAGTTTTAACATTGCGCCATTAATGATCATTTAAGCATTATCCGTAAGGTACTGTAGATTGCCTTAAAAGAGCTGCAACAGGTGCGCAAGTGATGTGCGCATTTATTGTCTATGAGATTCGCGGAAGTTTAAACCGAAAGTATCGCCAGTTCCTGACAAAACCTGAGTTTTTCCTCTGAATAGATGAATGCATTTGTGTTTTGCTCACCGATGAGTTCCGCGACCGCACTGAAGGGCCATGTGTGACTGGTGGAGTTGCTCTCCAGGTACGACGGGCTCATCTATAAAAACAACATTACGCAATACAATCATCGTAAAGTACATCGTAGAGCGTGAGAAAAGAGTTTAGAGAAGTTAAGAAAGAGTACACTACACACAGAGCTCAGCCGGATCCCGTGTTCGCTCAGTCTCGCCATCATGAGGGTTAAAACACACGTCAGATGAAAAGAGATGCAGATGGTTCATTCTTCCTCCTTCAGCGTCTCTCTCTCTCTCTCTCTCTCTCTCTCTCTCTCTCTCTCTCTCTCTCTCTGTGTGTGTGTGTGTGTGGCGTGACACTCCCACCCAGAGCTCCACAGAGCACATCTCATCTGCACACTTTTTTCTTTTTGAGAGTTAGTTCCCTATGTCATATTTTTTTTCATCATAACTTTCATATATATGTATATAATTTTGTTTTAATATTATATGATTTTACGTGACACTCCCACCCAGAGCTCCACAGAGCACATCTCATCTGCACACTTTTTTCTTTTAGAGAGTTAGTTCCCTATGTCATATTTTTTTCATCATAACTTTCATATATATGTATATAATTTTGTTTTAATATTATATGATTTTAAGTATTTTTTACACGTTATCACATTTCGTTTTATTATAGGCTATATTTTATATGAAACACTTTTATGAATGACCTTTCATTTATATACTAATATCATCTTCTTTAATACAGGTTACTACAAAAATAAAACAAAATCAAATGTATTTATTTAAATACTTTATTTCATATTTTAGCATTATATTGTATATTAAATGATAGCAAATACATTTTACTTTTAAAATTAATTTATGCTGCATTGTACACACACACAGGTTTGTTTTTATGGTTTATGGGGACTCTCCATAGGCGTAATGGGTTTTATACGGTACAGACCGTATATTCTATTGCTCTACACCAACCCTACCCCTAAACCTACCCCTTACAGGAGACTTTCTGCATTTTTAGATTTTCAAAAAAACTCATTCTGAATTATTTATAAGCCTTTTGAATTACGGGGACACTGAAAATGTCCTCATAAATCACCTTCTCGTTGTACTACCTGTCATACCCATGTTATTATACAAATTTGTGTCCTCATAAACTACATAAACATGCACACACACACACACACACACACAAACAGGGCTGCATTAAGACCTCAATGGGCCTATGACTTACTGCAGAGCCGTAAGCCGTAATTCTTGTTACCAATTCCAATATCTCAAAATAAAAAAAAATACTACTAAAGAAATACTAGGCTATGTAAAAACAAACATGCTGAAGACAAGTAAACAGTCATGAATTACAATAGAACAAAGAAATTGACCTACAAACACTTAAAGCACTGAATAAGAAATATATTGTATAAATAAATAGACTAGAAATAGACTGAATAGTCTTCACTGTATAAATTCAAGATACATTATTTTACAAAAGCGATCGGTCAAGGACAGTGAGTGATTTTCTTTCTAATGTTTAATTTACATTACTGACACAAATGGCAACAGCAGCTATATTAGGCTGCTTTGGAGGAATAGTTCACCCAAAAATTAAAGTTATATTGTTGTTGTTCTAAACCTGAATGAGTTTCATTCTGCTGTTGAATGCAAACTTACACTCTAAAAAATGCTGGGTTAAATACAACCCAGTGCTGGGTAAAATAGGGACTAACCCAGCGGTTGGGTTACTACCCAGAAGGTAACCGCTGGGTCAAAACAACCCAATTGCTGGGTTTGTCCCTATTTTACCCAGCACTGGGTTATATTTAACCCAGCATTTCTTAGAGTGTATATATTTGGAACAATACACCTTCTGGGTAGTAACCCAACCGCTGGGTTAGTCCCTATTTTACCCAGCACTGGGTTATATTTAACCCAGCATTTCTTAGAGTGTATATATTTGGAACAATACTGGTAACCAAACAGTGTCTGTGCCCCATGACTTCCATAGTATAGAGAAGAAAAATCACTATTGGAGTCAACAGGGACAGAAGCTTTCTGGTGGTTACGAATATTCTTCAAAATATCTTCTTTTATGTTGAGGAGAACAAAGAAATTCATACAGGTTCAGAACAACTTGAAACTGAGTAAACAATGACAGTATTTTAATTTCTGGGTGAATATCCCTTTAAAATCTCATCATATAATGCCAGGATCGCATAATAGCCAACTAGTGCACATGCTTTATCTTTAACTATTAACGTTCATTTAAGACACAAATAACTGTGTTGACGAGGAGACAGGCATTTTGACACATAACTATGTATATTCGAACGTTTAAACACAAGGCGCAATTAAAACGTTAAAAAAAATAACTCTTAGTTTAGTCAGGCGCTGTACGGGCTATAGCCCCCCTAAAAATGGCCTAGCGACGCCCATGGGCGCTACCGATGTCCGTCAATCTACTCCACAGCCAATCACGGGCCCCCTCCTTGCTCGGGCCCCGGGGCTTCAGCCCCGCTTAGCCCAATGGTTAATGCGGCCCTGCACACACACACACACACACACACACACACACAAAAATACAATTTGTTGTGTCTGTGTATTTTACGTTTTGGGTAATATAAAAATATCATATATGATTACACTGACCAAATCATGACAGACAGACATGATTTTCTCTGTAAGGTTTCGCTGAGATATTAAGCTTAGCTAATACAAAAATTGACAAAAATGTGTCTTGGAAGATAACTGCAGATATTATTGTTTTATTTATTTATTTATTGTATTTATTTCTGTGTTTATCTGTAGTTACTATTAAGGTATAGTGTGCAATAGATAATAGGTATTAGAATTAAGGTTCACTGTGTATTAACAGCTGTTTACATCATAGATTTTGACTTTGAGGATTTGATCAAACACATTAAAAGCCCTAGCATATACAATCAAAACAATAAACTAATAAAATAATATAGAAAAGTAGAATTTTATTAATTTATGCTGCATAACAGTATGTCGGTCTTACAGCTCTGATACTCAAAGCTTGCGCACTGTTGTGCAATTCACAGAATTAGATAGAACAGTGAGTTTAATATAGCATCTGAAATATATTGATTTGAATTTGATCATTAGTTGGATTGTTCCTCTCTCTCTCATTCTTTGGTGGCATAGAAAAGCCCCCAGCGTTGGTCTCCAGTCTCACAGCGCTGCAGTTTTTCTGTCCATCCGTTTACAACAGCATCATAGTCTTCCTGAGAGAACTCCTGTGGAGGAGACAGAGGTTACAAGAGTACATGGTAAGCTGCTTGCTTTCCAACAATATGCATGCAAACTTTAAAGGAATAGTTCACCCAAAAATCACAAATTTAAGATGTAGATGAGTTTGTTTCTTCATGGGAACAGATTTGGAGAAATATAGCATTATATCACTTGCTCACCAATGGATCCTCTGCAGTGAATGGGTGCCGTCAGAATGAGAGTTCAAACAGCTGATAAAAACATCACAATAATCCACAAGTAATCCACACAACTCCAGTCCCTCAATTAAGTTCTTGTGAAGTGAAAGATACATAAAAAACAAATCCTTAAAGGGATAGTTCACCCAAAAATCCCCCCAAAAAACACCAACCACAGTTGGTGGTTGCCATTGACTTCCATAGTAGGAAAAAAAATACTATGGAAGTCAATGGCAACCACCAACTGTTTGATTACCAGCAATCTTCAAAATATCTTCTTTTGTGTTCAACATAAGAAAGCAACTCATACAGGTTTGGAACGACATGAGTGTGAGTAAATGATGACAGAATTTTCATTTTTGGGTGAACTATCCCTTTAAGACATTTTTAACTTTAAACTGTTGCTTCTGGATAAAATATGTGTCCTCTCAACATAATATTAATTGTGGATTATTGTGATGTTTTTATCAGCTGTTTGGACTCTCATTCTGACGGCACCCATTCACTGCAGAGGATCCACCGGTGAGCAGGTGATTTCTCCAAATATGTTCCCATGAACAAACAAACTCATCTACATCTAGAATGGCTTGCATTGGAAGGTTGAGTGCATTTGCATTTTTGGGCGAATACCTCTTAAATGAAAGTGAAACATGTCTTCAATGCCTGCAAATGTAGCTTAAATGAAAAGGGAGGGGAAAAGGGGAAATATTTCCTTCAACAGTATGCAAATGTGTGGTTGTAAATGTAATGCAGACGTTACATGAGCAGGAGTGTGTGTTTACCTGTATAAACTCCTCCTTCATCTCCTCGGCTCTCTGCAGTTCAGCCTTTATAACCTGAATAAATTGCTCTGTTCTGTCCTCAGCGCGAACATTACTGAATCCCACCTCGCTCAGGAACTGAAAAACACACACAAACACACTCAGCAAGAGCATAAACAAGCCCTTTGTTCCTGCTCCAGCTTTTTTGTGTGTGGCATATTCAGCATCGTAGTGACCGATATCAGCATTACATAACAGATCAATACTAAATCTCAGTCCAAACAAGCTTTAATAGTACACTATGATTTTATGAGGTCTGTACTTGTCCGTATCTCTGAGGTGTGTAGAGGATATATCCCCGCTGGTTAACGTAATCCTGAAACGCTGGAGACCAAGGCTTCTCTCCACAGCAGTAGTCACTGATCAGAAGTTTACCGCCCGGCTTCAGCCATGACTGAAACACACATTAAAAGAAGAGTTAACTCAAAATACACATTCTTTCATCACTTCTAAGACAATGCCTCATTTGTCCAGTAGAGGAAAAAAACGCACATTCTTTTCTCTTTATTTCCTGAGAATTATTTTCCACATCAGCATTTGCTTACTGTGCTTCACTGCATTTGCCTATTTGGATGAATCCTCCATAGTTCAATACAAATGCAAAGGCTTGTTTTTATAAGCCATACATAATGTGTCACTCATTTGAGTCTTAGTAAAAAATAAATAAAGAAGGCTCAAGGGGAAGATAACTGTTAAAACCACATACACAAAAACCTACACACATATATTCACTGGAACACCTGCTACCCAGTGACAGTATATTTAGACCTACAGCACACAGATAATCATTTGTATATCCTCATACACACACACAACCCTTATGCGCACACATAGAGTAAGCTATTTCTGTGACATATGACGTGACAGACATGAAATTAATGCACACATGCAGGATTTTACTTGTGAGAACACTCACATAAAACTTTCCGAAGAGGTCAAGTTTGTCCCTGATATGCAGAATCGTGTCTCTGCTGTAAACCACATCAAACGCAGCATCAGGAAACCTTCTTTT